CCACACCCATTATAACAATTAATGTTGTTTAAATTGGGCCTTATGGATATTGATTTTAAACCCAAGTCACTAGCTCATTAATGAGCATGGACATGATTCAATAAGGGACATGGGCCTCTCGTAGGAGGTCATGTCATGCCACGAGATGGCATGAAAATTTCTAAGTATGAGAAGTCCATGGCCATGAATGAAGAGGCCATGCTGCCCCATGACCAAGGCCTAATGAATGAAAAATAAACTAAGTCTGGAAGAGGTACATGCCACTTCAATGAGAAGCACGTGCCGCCTCACGAGAAGGGGCATGGACGCGAGACAATAGGCACTAGGTATGATTGAAAAATGCTAAGTATGAGAAAGCATGCCACCTCAAGATAAGAGCCATGTGCATGATTGGGAGATCCATGGCCGTGTCACGAAAGGGGCCATGGAAGCAAGGCCGCGAATCACACTTCAAAGAAGACAAAGATATTCTAAGTGTGGAGAAGGACTTGTCGCTTTAACGAGGAGGGTCATGTCCCCTCTAGAGATCGAGAAGGTCATGCCGTGTCACAAGAGGGGCCATGTGCACGATTGAGAGGTCAATGCCGCCTCATGAGAGGGGCCATGGACACAAATAAAAAGGGTGTAGTGATGGAGCATTATATCACTAGTGAATATGTCTCAATAGGTCCATGACCGTTAGACAAGAAGGCCATGGACATGAGTAAAAAGTTCATGGTCGTAAGACAAGAAGGCCATGGACATGAGTAAGAAGTCCATGGCCGCGAGGCAAGAAAACCACGACCCCCTTTGCGAGACACCACATGCTCGTCAAAAGACTAGCATGACACGAGATTCAGAACAAGACCAGGCGAGGTAAGCTACACTCCAAAACCCACGACGGTTCCAAGAAAGGCACCTAGGCGGTTGAAGGAGTAACCACCACTCCGAGGAAGCAGGGAGCGGTTCTTTTTGGGAGTTATCCAAGAGGCGGTTTTCTATGATGGCTCCACGATATAGACAACAAGATGAAGATCTTCTACACGTCTTCGTAGAAGAGGATCAAGTGACTAGCTTCAAAATTGGTAGAGTGGATGTTGTCGCCGGAAGCAATGGTGGGATGAAGGCTCTGCCAGCACCGGCGACAAGTTTGGATGAAGCCACTTCCATCACGTCGCTCCATCAATCCATTGATGAAGGTATGGTTGACCCCCAACAGGTAAACCGACGTTTAACTTCTCATATTAAGCGCCATGCTTCTCTTATTGAACGTATCGATTCTCTCATTGAACATCATGATTCTCTCATTGAGCGTCATGATTCTCTCATTTCTTGGATGGATACATGTCTATATAATTGGTTTGGCAACTTGAGCAAGACTCAAAGCCATTTTTATGAGTCTAGACATGTCTCGGACATATCTGTGGTTCAATCAAGGACTTTGCCAATAAATAGCAAAGATCCACCACTAAACAGTGTTACATGGTGTAAGAATCTTTCTTCCACTGGTTGTCAAAATGGTCGATCATGGAAAGGAATATCGCCGACATCGGTAACAAGCCAACTGCCATCTCAACATGGGAGTTGTGGCCAAAATTTGGCCTTCACGTTCACGACCCATAATTGTGACTTGTCTGTATAATATGGAGTTCAACCGCCCATGCTAGATAGAAGAACTCCTGTGGATGACGTAGGTGGTGGCGTTTCATCCAAAATGGATCAAGTACCACGATCTGCTCACCCACCCCCAATGCCACCCCTAGTGAATGGGCAAGGAGTGAATTATGAAGAACTCAAACCATCTAGAGCCCATCATGGGGGGCATGAAAGTCTAACTTCCCACAAGGTGAAGCCTAAAAGTCCATCTAGGGGGCATGTTATGTCTAAGAGACCACATCAATCACAAGCAACACCTGCTTGTGCTAAGCATGCTAGTTTGGCTAAGTGTGGACATGGGGGCTAAGTCTGTTCCATACGAAAAATCCGCTAATCCCCTTTGGAAAACACTGTTCATTGGCCATTTATATGATTTATTAATTTGAGTTATAACTACCATACATCCCATGATGTTAACTACCATATATTGAATTTTTGCATCATCAATTTCATGAATATCTTTATTGTTAACTTAATAATTGGTAGAGTAAGTTCATAACTTAATTGCATTATTAAATGTACAATCAATTTGCATTAAGCAAAGATTCAGTAAGCCAATCGAGTAAGTGGGGTTAATGGTCTGATTGTTTTGACTCGGTTTGACCTATATGAAAAAAATTATTGGAACTTTCTGTGTTACCTGTATGGATCCGAATGTCGAACGTTGGCTCCTATATGACTCGGTTGGCGGTTTTGTAGTCCGTGAGGTTAATTAATTGAGGTTGTGGTGCTTGCACCTTTTTCACCCAAAAAAAATTATTATATTGTTCACACATTTATGCGCAAGTAATCTTTCATTAATTTTACTGTTCCATACGAAAAATCCACTAAACCCCTTGGGAAAACACTGTTCATTGGCCATTTATTATGATTTATTAATTTGAGTTATAACTACCATACATCCCATCCCATGAGTTAACTACCATATATTGAATTTTTGCATCATCAATTTCATGAATATCTTTATTGTTAACTTAATAATTGGTAAAGTAAGTTCATAACTTAATTGCATTATTAAATGTACCATCAATTTGCATTAAGCAAAGATTCAGTAAGCCCAATCGAGTAAGTGGGGTTAATTGTCTGATTGTTTTGACTCGGTTTGACCTATATAAAAAAAAATATTATATTATTCACACATTTATAAATTATATCAAATGTCATATAACATATTCTATTCCATTACCTAACTAATATATATTGAATTTTTGCATCACCAATTTCATGAATACCTTTATTATTAACTTAATAATTCGTAAAGCAAGTTCATAACTTATTTGCATTATTAACTATACCATCAATTTGCATTACACAAAGGTTCCGTAAGGCAAGGTTGTCCAACCCAATTTAGCAAGTTGGCTCAGTCGAGTAAGAGGATTGAGGGTTAATGGTTTGACTGCTTTGATTCAATTTGACTCGAATATATGAAAGAATTTATTATATTATTCAGACATTTATAAATTATATCAATCTCATATAACATATGTGTAATAACATATAACATTAACTTGGATCCAACATATAATGAAAATTCAAACACACTCAAATATTCAACTTAGAATTTCAAATAAAGTTAGGTTGGGTGAAGGGGAAAAGAGGCGCAATTCGCAAATCAAAAGAAAAAGCGACATTGTGTGACCTCCAACCCTAGAACCTTGTTTCTGGTCGACCAGCAGGTGTGTGACCCATTTTACTCACTGGGTCAGGATCAATTTGAGTTAAACTGGGGGTCAACCCACGGGTTGACAACCTTACAGTAAGGTAAGTTAAATTCTATATAATAGTTTAATGAGATGTAATACTTTATGTAACTTGATTTTACTGTTAGACCCAACATTACAGATAACTTATGTAGCACCAATTTATAAAATGTAGGTAAATTAAAAATATATGAAGTCAAACTTATAAAATGATAGTTGTTTCTTATGTAACAATTAAACAAACTTTTATTGCATTAACTACAATATTTATCACATCAACAATTTGTGTTACGCAAAGGTTTCGTAAGGTAAATGAACTTTTACATAATAGTTAAATCAAATGTGATACTTTTTGCAACTTTATTTTATTATTAGTCCAAAAAATACGAAATGTAACACGATTCCATAAAAGTTATACAAATTAAAAATAGTACGTCAAACTTATGGAAGGATAGTTATTTCTTATGTATCAATTAAATATAACGTGATATGTTTAAGTCTTTCGTAATGATTAAGACATTTTGTAAAATTTATGAAAGGATAATTATTTATTATGTATCAAATAAAACAATATATTACATAGTCTTACGTAGTATGAGTTCGATTGAAAATTTCTTTATTATTAACTAAATGATTTACCATCTCATTAATTTACATTACACAAAGATTCTATAAGGTTTATTTCTAATTAAAATGTATTTATTATTAAAAAAACGATTGACCATCTCATCAAACTCCATTACACAACGATTTTATAAGATTTACATATAAATTTGATCGAATGTAATAATTTTCATAATTTAATTATTGTATTAGACAAATGTTAACTACAATATCCACCATCCATCAATTTGCATTACACAAATGTTTCATAAGGTAATTAACTTTTACATAATAATTAATCAGTCTTACTTTTTCTTAACTTGGTGTTATTATTAGATATACATTACATAAAATTTACGTAACACCATTCTATAACATAAATTTTCTTAAGTACAGTACATAATTTAAAGGAACAGATCACCCAAATTGACCATCTAATCAAACTCAATACCTAACCCATCCCCACTGAACCGTTCTCCTTCCTTGTCCGCGTCCCTTGTTCTACCGCCGCCGTTGCCTTGCCGTTGCCGCCATCCAAACCGGCGTCTCCAGTCCTCTCACAATCGATTTCCAATCCTCCCCCATTTCAAGTAACCTTTCCATTTCCGTAATCCATCACACTTCAAAACACAAATCCCCAAAATTGACAGCAGGAGAACGGTGGCGAAAAGCACAACAACAAGTCAGCGAGGCAAGTCCCCTTCTTGTTGGACTTATCAGGTTGAAAGATCTCCTTTCGGCCACAAGTAGACAACAAGGAACAGGGGATTCGGCACCGAAGATGCTTTCAAGTCCACTTCTTGGTTTTGGTTTTTGGACTTATCAGGTCGAATGATCTCCTTTCGGCCCAGGAGCTCTGTTTTTTTTTCCCCAAACCATCTGTTCCACTTCCCCGATCGAGTCTAAGTAACGGGAAAACAGAGGAGAGGCGAAAACAGAGTATATATAAACCACCTCTCTGGATCTCTCTTCTTCACTCTCTCACTCTCCTATCTATCCAAAATCATATTCATGAACATAGTAAAACTATTAGAAGAAGAAGAAGAAAACCCACTTCCAAAAATGCTTTCTCCTCCCCGCTCCCATCATACACCAAAAACAGTGGATACTCTGTTTTCTTCAGCCTCCCTGCATCTGCAGAGGCAAAAGACCCGCATTGACAACTTTTTCAGGGACCAGAACCCAGATACCCAGCCAGAGCAAGATTTTTCCATTGCAGATATAATTAGGTTTGCCGCAGAAAAGTTCATAGATTCTACTACGGAACCCACCGACCCACCATCCGGAAACTCCGACGACGACGACGACGACGACGATGAGGTGGCCAACGACGTCAAACTCATACACCAACTTCTGCGTGCAGCCAATGAATTGGATCACAAGCAGTACGAGCAAGCGACCCACTTCCTAAACCTCTGTGATTTCTCGTCATCCAAGACAGGGAATCTCGCCCAGCGAATCACCCACTACTTCGTCCATGCTCTTCGCGAAAAGCTCCGTAAAGAAACCGGCAGCGGAACCCACCCGATAGCCGATCTCATGAACCGTTTCCAACGATTGAACGTCGAGGAAACAATTACTGCTATATCCCCTATAGTCGCGGTCTTGTACGAGAAAATCCCCTTCTTCCAAGTCGGGCAGCTAGCCGGAGTTCAAGCAATCGTGGAAAGCGTAGAGAAAGCGAAAAGGATTCACATAATCGACCTCAGAATCAGAAACGGGATGCAATGGACGGCCCTGATGCAGGCTTTATCCACCGCCTCCAAAGGAAAACGACGCCGTCGTCGTGCACCGGAGATTCTGAAAATCACAGCCATCGTCACCATCTCGGAAAATTTGGTCCGGGGAACAGGGGAAAGGCTGGCAAAGTTCGCCGAGTCGATGGAGATACCCTTCGAATTTAACACCATAGTGGTATCAAGCTTCACCGAACTCGACGAGGCGCAATTCGACCTCGATCCCAGAGAAACCGTGGCTGTTTTCGGCGAGTACGCATTGCAGGGTCTGGTTTCGGATCCGAATGAATTGGAGGCACTGATGGAAGTTCTGAAGAAAATCAGTCCTAGCATAATGGTGGTGCTTGAATCAGAGGTGAACCTCAATTCCTCCAACTTCGCTCGCCGGTTCGTCGAAATGCTGTTCCACTATGGGGCATACTTCGACTGTCTCGATGCTTGCTTGGATTCATCGTGCGATGATGGTGGCGGCGGGACTGGGGAGCGGGGCTTGATTGAGTCGATGTTCTTGAACAAGATTACGGAGCTTTTGGTGAAGGAAGGGGAAGAAATGCCGAGGGTGGTGACGGTTGATGTGTGGAGGAAGTTCTTTGGGCAGTTCTCGGTGTGGGAAGTGGGGTTGAGCTCGTCGGCGATGGAGACTGTGAATCTGTTGCTGGGGAGGTTTGTGAAGGGCAAGTGGTGTACGTTGGATATGGATGGGAGGTGTTTGATTGTTGGATGGAAAGGGACTCCCATTTTCTCGCTTTCTACTTGGAAGTTCCTCCATTGAAACTGGCCCAATGATGAATCGACTTGTAAGATATAACAACAACTCTGTTTTATTATGTGACATTGAGTAATTTACTAATTTTATTATGCAACTAGATAAGTGGCTCGTGATTTGGTTTACCAAAAAAAATGTCTGTATTACGATATAATATATCTAGTTTACCATAATTGGATTCCCTGCGGTCAACTCTAATTTATTTCCTAGCTCTTTATCGTAATATTTTTTTGGGGGTTGGCCAAAGTGAGGGTTTCAACCTTTTTCTTGTTGACCGCCGACAAAAATAAGGATTAAAAAATCGTATAGTATTGACGGTCCGACCAGAAAAAAATTTTCTACTGAGTCTAAATCGGTAGGTTGTTATTAGTGATTCGAAATTGTTGTACAATGGTTAAACCATATCGTTAACATTTTCGGTAACACCCAATTTCAACCTGATTTCTTTTTCCCCTGTAGTCAACTATAATTGTGTAATACAAATACATTACGTAAAACTTATTATTAGCTACAATGTACATCATCTCACCAATTTGTATTACGCAAAAGTTCTGTAAGATAATATAAATTTTTCATATTAGTTTAATTGAATGTGATTTTTTGCATAACTTGCTTGATTTTATCAATACACTATATATTACGAAAGATTTATGCAACGTTCTATAACAATTGCGTAAATTAAAAATTCATACGTAAAAGCTTATCAAGGGATAATTATTCCTTAAATTAATTGACCAAGATATATTCAATAAGTCTTTTGTAGCCATAAGTTCTTTTTCCCATGTAGTCAACCATATTTGCGTAATACATTTACATTACGTTAGAATTTATTATTTGCTACTCTAATCAAATGTAATACTTTAAATAACTTACTTAATTTTATCATTAGACCAAATATTACGAAAGATTTACGTAACGTTGATAATAATAATTATATAAATTAAAAATACATACGTAAAAACTTACAGAGAGATAGTTATTCCTTATGTATCAATTGAACAAAGTTTATCAAATAAGTCTTTCGTAGCCATAAGTTCCTTTTCCCCTATAGCCAACTATATTTGTGTAATACAGATACATTAAGTACAACTTATAGAGCTACAATATTTATCACCTCATTCGCATTACGCAAAAGTCCTGTGTGGCTGGGATACTACTGAAATCTGGGATTCTAGTCCCCCTATCTTCATTGTAAACCATCTTATTTCTGATTCCTGTATTTCTTCTCACTAATAAAATAAAAAAGGATCTTTCATCCTTTATTATTTCATAAAAGCATATTAAAATAGCTTTATTTTAAAAAAAAAAAGAGTAGAGAGAGTGTGTGATTCCGGTGACTGAGGGTTTTCGTGCTTTCTCGTTGTCGGCTCTGGCATCTGCGCCGGAGCAGCTCTTTTACCCCTCCTTTTTTGTTCTTATGTGTGAGACGAGTGTTGCGGTATCTGTTCCGGCTTCAGAGTGCTGAATGGTGATTCTCGGGGGATTCCTTCGAAACCCTGGGCGTCGCTATTTGGGATCTCTGAGGCCAACCGCCTTACACATATCCCGCCAGAGGTTGTCAATGGAGGATTGAGGATGCCTAAAACTATTCGAGAGGCAGGAGCGGCTCGATGGAAGCACAGTCTCGTGGGGCAATTTCTTCAGGATCCGCCTATGTTGTATGTTCTGCGTCGCTGGGTCAACAAACTTTGGGGGTAGGGATGGCAATGGGTCGGGTTGGGTTGGATTTTGCCAAACCCAAACCCATGGGTTTATCTTTGAAAAAAAACCGGGGTAAAACCCACTGGGTTTGAAAAACTCAAACCCAACCCGTTGGGTATCCGCGGGTTCATGGGTACCCACGGGTTTTGTCGTAAAAAATTTACAATTACAAGTTCTTATCAAAATTAAAGTCAAATATCAATCTCTCGATACAAATTATCCATATATAAAACACCATTCTAGAAAATTCAAGCAAATCACAAATTAACTATACAAATTGTTCAACACCAATCTAGAAAACTCAAGAAAATTGAAGCAAATCACAAACAAATTATCCATAAATAACATGTTTAATTGAAAGCTTCTTTCTTTCAATTAAGTTTCTTTACTCTCCACTCCATAACATCAACTTCATTCTACACAATTAAAAAGAAAAATTAGACATGTCTCCACAAATATAAATAAGATTAGTTGTTTAGAATATTAAATATACCAAAAAAATTAATTATATGGATGGGCGGGTACCCACGGGCCGGGTTTACCTAAACCCAAACCCAACCCAACCCGGTGAATAGTGAACGAGTTTAAACCCAAACCCGGCCCAAAACCCGTCAACATGGATTTTACCCGCGTTGACCGGATTGGGTCGGGTGGGTACCCATGGGTTCGGGTTTTGTTGCCATCCCTATTTGGGGGCGCGATGGTCTGGTTAGGGTTTCGTTGCTCTATTATAAGATCTTGCTAATTCAACTACCTAATCAAAAGGTTTTTGAGTGGATTCTTAAGAACGGTTCGTGGTTTTGGTTTAACAACTTACTTTATCTTCGACCTTGGGTTCCTGTTATTAGTTTTGAGGATTTGGGAAGGAAGGCTATGTCGATTTGGGTGAATTTACAATGATTTTCAGGGGTTGAGCAGAATAGCGAGTTGGATTGGGGTTCCGCTGGGTATGGATCATACTACTCGAATGGGGGATAGACATGGGTTTGCCAAAGTTTTGGTAGAGCTTACAGTTGAGAGTGAGTGTCCTGATCATGTTCTTCTGTGGCCTTATGATGATTCCTCCATTCGTATTGGGATCACCTACTGTAATTTGCCCTCAATATGCCATGTATGTCATCTCTTTGGGATTACTAGTTCATGTGCTGAGCATCAGAGTAAGCAATGGGTGGCTAAACAAGTGCATAATGAGAAGGTAATTAGTGTTCAGGGGCAAGATGCTACGACTGCTTTAGTGAATCAGGATGTGAATGGGGATCAACAGGTGGAGAGTGGTAAGGGTAAGGAGGTGGTGATATATGATGATGATCCTCAGTTGATGGCCATCTTTACTAATCCAGTTTCGATGGGAGGGGGCAAAGTTGCTCCACAGAACTTGGAAAAATCTTTCCAGGAGGTGGCTACTTCCTCTTCACCCAAGTTACCTTCTGAAGATGAATTTCAGAGAGTGGTCAATGGGGCTCAGCCTCGAGTCTGGCTATCTCAAAACAATTCCAAAGACATTCAGGTTTCTAACTCATCTTTCAGTTTTTTGGGGAAACTTGGTGACAGGGAAGCAAGTAAGAAGGTGCATGATGCTCCAAAGAAAAAGGAGGTAAAGAAGGATATGAAGAAGGGTGGGGGAAACCCCCAACTTTGAAATGATTATTCTGTTCTGGAATATAAGGGGGTTTAATAAAACCTTCACAGAGGGACTTGATGCAAGTCCTATGTAGGAATAAAGTAGATGTAATTGCAGTTCTTGAGACCAGGGTTCAGGCTAATAAAGCTGAGGAGGTTTTCGCAGGTTGGGAGAAATGTCTCAACTGTTTTGATTCAAAATTGGGGTGGGTCTGGTTGTTTTGGGACCCTGCCATTAAGCTTCGGGTTCTCAAACCAAAAAATAATTTTATTCATTGTTTGGTTGAAGATCTTAACAAGGATAGTTTCTTTTTAACTACTGTTTATGCTTCAAATGAAGAGGTTGAGAGGCAACATACTTATAGGGAGATTGCATAGTTAAAGGTTGTTGGACATCCTTGGATAGTTGGTGGTGACTTTAATACTGTTCAGGATCCTCATGAGACGTCTAATTAGAGGTCCTTTACTTCGAGCATGAAGGACTTTAATCAATGGATTGAGGAGATAGAATTGGTGGACTATAGAACGACGGGGCCTCAGTTCACATGGACTAATCGGCAAGCTCATCATCCTATTGATAGGAAGCTTAACAGTAGTCTTGTTAATTTGGATTGGATTGAGCACTTTAAAGATTGTGCTATGGAGGCTCTCCCTGCGCAGTTTTTGGACCATTGTGGGGTGCAGGTTTGTACAGTAGCCTCTGTTAAGTCTCTGCCCAAACCCTTCAAATATTTCGAGTTTTGGGCAGAGCACCCACTCTTTATGGATATAGTTGAGGAAGCTTGGAGTATTGAGGTTTCAAGGACGCCCTTGCAAATTATTCAGAGTAAATTGGGTAGGCTCAAGCAGGCTTTAAAGAAATCTAACAAGGAAGTCTATGGTAACCTTCAGGATCAAGTTAAAGAGGCTGAGGGTGAGTTGCTGAGAGTCCAAACCAAAGCATTCTCAGATCCTACTGCAGAACACTTTGAAGCTGTTACACTTGCAAAGGATCGTTATGATCATATATCTTCGGCTTATGAAAGTTTCTGTTGGCAGAAATCCAGGGTATCTTGGTTAACAGTTGGGGACCAGAGTTCAAATTTCTTTCATCAGACTGTAAAAATTCATAATTCCAAGCGAGCTATTAGGAAATTGGTTAAAGAAGTAGGAAAGGAGATCTTTCAATCTGACCAGATTATTGAGGAAGTTCTTGGGTTCTATAAGAAACTGTTGGGAGAGGCTAACATGGAAATTAATCCTAGTAAGGAGGAGTGGAGCAGCGGGTTCGTCATCATATCCCTGGCCCTGAATGTGACCTTCTTATCAAAGAAGTCACAGCATAAGAGATAAGGAGTGTGGTTTTTAGCATGAATTCCCAGAAAGCTCCAGGGCTGGATGGTTTTTCTGTTGGATTTTACAAAAAGACATGGCCAATTATTGGGGATGATGTAATCAGAGGGATCCTATTCTTCTTTCATACAAGTAATTTTTCTAGTGGAGTAAATGCCACTGTTGCTTTGCTTCCCAAAGTTTCTAATGCTAATACTTTGAAGAATTTTCGGCCTATTTCGTGTGTGAATCTTCTCTATAAAATAGTGGCTAAGATTCTTGCTAGGCGCATTAGTAAGGTTATGCCTCTAATTATTAGTAATACTCAATCACCCTTTGTTAGAGGAAGAAGCATAATGGATAACATTTTACTG